AAAAAAATAACAATTAATTTAAAATAAAATGAGTATATAAAATTTTATCACACTATAGCTACTTGTATTCATTAAATCAAATACCTAAAATTTTTAAAAGTTGGTAATGACCTAAGTAATCAGATAAAAAAAACTCCTCATCTTGAAAGTTAAATGAAGCCATGAAAGCAAACTCAGTGTAGTACATTAGCGTGTGTTATGAGTTAAAAATAAAAATAAAAATTAAGTAATCAGATAAAAAAAACTCCTCATCTTGAAAGTTAAATGAAGCCATGAAAGCAAACTCAGTGTAGTACATTAGCGTGTGTTATGAGTTAAAAATAAAAATAAAAATAAAAATAAAAATAATATAATAAAAGAGTGTTGTTACTTTTCATATACTATAAAATAATAAAAAATAAAATAAAATAAAATATTTGTTGTTAAGTAAGTGTCTAAAAATAAAGACGGTTGGGAGTGGGCTATGATGACTTTACGCTACTAAGATTTTAAAAATTTTGTAACTGACTGATCATCTAACTTGATTAACCTTTTGTGTGTCAGTGTGTGTGTTAGTGTTTTATTTATTTATTTATTTTTAAAGAAGTAGTCCTTAAACTAAAGGAAACCTATAATTAAACCCCATTAACAATCGTCCATAGAGGGCTGTCGACATTTTTCGACGGTTGACCCTACTCCGATTTTCTTTTCTTTTCCTTTTTTACTCTATTTATTTAAAGGCTATAAATCTCAATTCTCAATTCAAGCTGATATATCTATATATTTTTATATAATCATTGAATTAGTAAATATATATCAATTCATATGTTTTATTAGGTAAAAAATTGATTACAATTATGTATAATTACAAGATAATTATGTAATATCGATTTCAATTTAAAAAAATTAGAGATTAAATTTTAAATAATGTCATTTTATTTAATTAAAATTTAATTTACAATACAAAAATTAATATTATTTAATGCTAATTTTTATATTTAAAAATTAAAAACGTTATTCTCAATTCAAGCTGATATATCTATATATTTTTATATAATCATTGAATTAGTAAATATATATCAATTCATATGTTTTATTAGGTGAAAAATTGATTACAATTATGTATAATTACAAGATAATTATGTAATATCGATTTCAATTTAAAAAAATTAGAGATTTAATTTTAAATAATGTCATTTTATTTAATTAAAATTTAATTTACAATACAAAAATTAATATTATTTAATGCTAATTTTTATATTTAAAAATT